TACATTACACTAAAAACTAACAACGTAAACATAATGTTTCTTATTATTTATATTACATTTCATTAGAAACTAACAGTATAATCATGATATATTAACTACATAACATTAAAAACTACTACCATAAACAGGATATTTCTTATTATCTACATTACATTAAAAACTAACAAAATAAACATGATATTTCTTATTATCTACATTGCATTAAAAACTAACAACATAAAAATTATATTTCTTACCAAGTAATACTGCAAAGGTAAGCCAGGCGACCATGTTTATTCGGCTTTCTTGTTGTAAGTATCACAATATGACAAAGATTATACACAGTTTTGATGGTACTAACAGGTGACAGACTTCCAAATGTTCTGTGTGAAAAATAATCCTGTTGAGAATGATAACTAACATTGTTTTATGAGTCTAGCCTCCCTACCAACCGCATGGTGTTTAGATATCAATAAACGCAAGTTAGAGAGTTTTTCTATAGACCACAAACACAATAGCCATGGGAACAGGATCTAGCTGCAGGTGAGTGGGCATTTGAAGTTTAACCCGTTACGTATCAACGTTCCATTTTTGAAAAAAAAATGCTTTGATTACAGATCCTTAGGAATTGCTTTTAATAGTTTGGTTTTACGAGCTAATTTGAGCTCAAATATTGATATTTTTGTTTTAATAAACCATTTGCGGAAAACAGTTTGTTACGCAACTTTTTCAGTTGTGCGAAATTTGAAGCGAGTGGCAAACTGATAATATTTCATAACTAAAATATCGTATCTTATATTTTTTCTATATATTTAGGAGTTATTTCTTGTATTACAAATTATGATATACACTGTATTTTGTAAAAAATGTCTTTTACTGCATTTTCATTGGAATATTAAACAATTTTCATAAAGTAAAATGTTATTGTATCCAGGTTTTGGCAGTTAGTTTTGGATCTTATTTTAATAAAACTGTTTCTGAAGCGAATCTGTCTTACTTTGGTAATTAAGGGGTTAACTGTTGAAAGCCGAATCAATCGTTATGAGAAAAAAAAATGTATGGTTCCAGTGAAATAAAGAAATAGGACAGCTGTAAGTTTACGAACTTACAACGCTAAAATTCAGGGTTTGATTCTCCGCGGGAGATTGAGTATTGTTTCTTAGTGCAGAGCTACACAACTGACTATATGCACTCTGTCTACCACGGGGAATCGAACCTCGAATTATTTTTTTAGGGTTGTAAATTCATAACTTACTACTGACTCACTAAAGTCTGGAGATAATACATGAATTGTTGTATGTTTTAGAAATATAATAACAGAAGAAAAAGTTTGATTGCCAGGACTATCACAACATAGCGAAATTTCGAGGAAAAGCTCTAATATGATTATACTGTAATATGCTACAATATGAAATGTATGATTTAATCCGTTAAACATAACCTAGCTCTGAATTTGTTGCCGTTGTTATGATTATAGTTAGCGGCGTTTGGTACAAAACAAAGAAGAACCTTTTCCACACGTGCTTACCTCGCCCAGGACGTTTAACAAATTACAAAACTACACACAGAAATGAGAAAAATGAAATGGGCCGATCCTTTTAAATTCATAAAATCTTATCCCCTGCTCAAATATTCCCATTTATTTACTTCTCTTAATATGAGCGACACTTTAAAATTTTTGTTAGGTCGTGTTACCAAATTCAGTAAAATCACGGGGGGATGTAATATATTACCATTTTCAGACAGTCATTACTGTAAATGACGATTGAGAAGTTTCAGGATAATTCATCCAACAAAGCTGGTTTAAGAAAGGGTTTATACTGTTATCTCTGTTGATGATGTTGATGAAGGTCCAAGATAATGTATAAAATCAACCCCTCCACTATACCAAGTTTAGACTGCCTTGCTTTTGAGGGACAGCGAAAAGAATCAGAGTACAGTTTATATAGCCAGTCTTGATATATGGACTCGTGTTCAGATTGGGAGAGTAAGGATGTTGCATGTAATAACGATGTACTATAAGGAGGACAATTTATATATTTAATATCTGTATGGGTCCATTTTTTGTGAGCAATCTATTCGAAAGTCTAGAAAACCATTCCGTTTTTCCCGCACTGTTTATACTTAATCCTTTTTTGGTTATCAACACTGACGACTCTTTCCAGGAACGTAGAGAGCCAGCACGGGCCCCGGGGCAAACATCCTCGCCGGGCCCCTTTTCTCTCTCTCTTTTTTAACATTTTCAAGAATTTATTAAAAAGAAGATCCTAAATTAGGACAGCAACGAGCTCATAAACCAGACAGCAGCCGTTTTTACCTCACAGTATAAGCGTAAAAACGTTAACAAAGTAACGACAAATATCTGTTAAATATATAAAGTAATAAATACATATTGATTATTAATCAAATTATTATTTCAGTCGTTCTTAATGTATCAAGGGTCTATATGCAAAGAAAAGCCAAAAACTATGGTTTTTATCATTAAATGAAGATATAGCCTAAAGATGCTTTGCGGGCTTTACGGCATAATCAGGTTTCATTCGCCTGGGCCCCTGGGCAGTTTCCCCTTTGCTCCCCCCCCCTATCGGCGGGTCTGACTCTTTCTAACCTAAAAGTATTGCATTTTTAGCATCTTAAGTTTCATTCCTCACCAACCAGATAATGTTGCATATGTAGCAACTAATACATAAAATAGACTGCACTCATACTGGGAAAGCTATAGCACCCATGATGGTATGATTTACAGTTTCACTTTGACTCTCCTTTTGTTATTCGAAATTACTTGGTGTTTCTTTTATCTTTCGAAATTTTCGTTTCCAGCCTTCAAACAGTAACATATTTAAGGTTTTGTCAACGAAGCAAACTGTTTCATCTGCTCTTACTTTAGAGATATTATATATATATGTCACTAACATAATTAGCTATAGAAGTTGAAAGTGAAAGTTTACAGAAATGAAAGTTCCTGTTCATTAACTAAACAAAGTTAAGAAATAGTTGTTAGGGTCACCAGATTTCGAACAAAAAAATGCTTCCATGCTCCGATAATTATAAACAGTAAAAGGATCCTAGTAACATGATGCTGTATTTTCCACACCACTTTATCTGTGTGGTATACTTTACCATACCATTTCGTCTGTGTTATATACTTTACCATACTAATTTATCTGTGTGGTATACTTTACCATACCATTTTGTCTGTGTTATATACTTTACCATACCACTTTATCTGTGTAGTATACTTTACCATACCACTTTTTCTGTGTGGTATACTTTACCATACCACTTTATCTGTGTGGTATACTTTATCATACCACTTTATCTGTGTGGTATACTTTATCATACCACTTTATCTGTGTGGTATACTTTACCATACCACTTTGTCTGTGTGATATACTTTATCATACCACTTTGCCTGTGTTATATACTTTACCATACCACTTTATCTGTGTGATATACTTTACCATACCACTTTGTCTGTATGGTATACTTTACCATACCACTTTGTCTGTGTGGTATACCTTACCATACCACTTTGTCTGTGTTATATACTTTACCATACCATTTTGTCTGTGTTATATACTTTACCATACCACTTTATCTGTGTTATATACTTTACCATACCACTTTATTTGTGTGGTATATTTTATCATACCACTTTATCTGTGTGGTATACTTTACCATATCACTTTGTCTGTATGGTATACTTTACCATACCACTTTGTCTGTGTGTTATATACTTTACCATACCACTTTATCTGTGTGATATACTTTACCATACCACTTTGTCTGTGTGTTATATACTTTACCATACCACTTTATTTGTGTGATATACTTTACCATACCATTTTGTCTGTGTTATATACTTTATCATACCACTTTATTTGTGTTATATACTTTACCATACCACTTTATCTGTGTGGTATACTTTATCATACCACTTTATCTGTGTGGTATACTTTACCATATCACTTTGTCTGTGTTATATACTTTACATGACACTTTATCTGTGTGATATATTTTATCATAGCACTTTATCTGTGTTATATACTTTACATACCACTTTGTCTGTATTATATACTTTATCATAACTGTTTATCTGTGTGGTATACTTTACCATACCACTTTATCTGTGTGATGTACTTTACCATACCACTTTATCTGTGTAGTATACTTTACCATACCACTTTATCTGTGTAGTATACTTTACCATACCACTTTATCTGTGTGGTATACTTTATCATACCACCTCCACAATTTTTTTAAATATTGGCCTAGCCCTTTCTAGCACTTTCCATGCCACTATACGAGGCTCATCAAACGGGCTAGTACTACTTATAAGCTTTGGAGAACCAAATGGTTTAAAGTTGCTATCTTTGCGCATTAGTAATCAGCTTATAGTAACAGAGAATATGAAAATGTCTTATATATATTTACAATGAAAATATTTGAACGCATATAATTGAACAATTAATTCGCGCACGTTATTTTAAGATTTCGAAAGCCTACTCAAGTAAGCTGATTGTTAACATAATGCAAGATAATGGATTAGAATCATCAGATAAAGCCACTCAACTACTCTGTATGAAATTGGTTTCTGAGACAAAAAAAACACTTGATAATTTCGCCGTCTTTGAAGGCGTACAATAACATACAAGAGACTATGTTTATTGATTGTTTAAGCTACAGGTTTGCACATCAGATAAAATCCTTATCCTCTGAACAACCTTCTTCTTCTTCTTGGCAAAATTATGTATTTGATTATTGATAAAGCGAACACACAAACACATTATATTCATACATATGTACGATAACATAAAAAAGAAACATTTACTTTTAAATGCTTCATGTACTTAGAATATGTTACTTACATAGATAATAAGCATTTATAACTTCAACGATTTGTTCGAGAATTATTGTGAAATGTACTTGTTATGTTAATTTGAAAATACAGTTAAACTGTGAGATTAATGAAAGTCTACGAATAAGTTTTGTTTATTAGAATACTTTATTTCTGACACAATTCAAATAAAACAGAGCTTACAGCATAACGTTAACATAGCTAGATAGCTGTCAATGTACAATAGTACATTATAATTTGAAACAGTTAAATTGATTTATAATTTGAGATGGAGTTCTAATCGTAGTCATTATTTTATTGTTTAATTTTCTTAGTGATACTATATAATTTGTAAAGCATTTACAATATTGGACGAATCGCTCACCTGTTGCACAAGGCTTTCAGTTAAAGCTATTTATTCAAAGTAACAAATTAACAGTTTTATTCTATTCCAACCTATGAAACAGTTATTAAGCATCAAATTGGCATATTTTTAATTGGATGATTAGAAAATTTCAATCAACATTGAACATTGGTTTTAAAGTCACATATTTGAACAGCTTCATTAAAATAAGTTCCAGGAGGACAGCTCTGCTCAATTCTTTGCGCTGATGCACAATTGATGAACTTGGAACAATCAGTTGGACTGCGAACCATTCCAAAACTTCGCTTTGCACATGGATCAGAAGGTTTGGAAGTAGGCTTGGAAGCAGGTTTGATTTCTTTCACATCCCTTGGTTCCTGTGCTGGAGCTGGTGTGATAAAACGATGGCAATACTCTTCATATTTTTAACAATTTAAAGTTAAGATATTTCGTGAAAAACTAAAAGTTTCAGGTTAAACTCACTCAAACAATTCTAGCAATTTCGGGTTAAAATGGCTCAAAGAAACTTAATAACTAACGAGATTTGACATTTTTAAAGCAATAAAACCAGAAGATTCAAAAATTCTAAATTTTAACAAAGTAAGGATAAAGTTCTTTAAAATGATTAATAGAAAGGTAGGTTAATAGTTTAGGAGATATATATGTGTGTGTGTGTATGAATCCAAAACGTAATAACTTAAGAATAATATACTCTAAAACGTAGTAAAACAGCAAAGAAAACAGTCGGTTGAGTACGTTATATTAAAACGATTTTGAATATGTAAATCAGCAAGTCACCTGACAATCATAAGTGATAAAATGTTTCTTTCGTTTATTTTCTCTGTGTGTATGGGGTAGGGTGGGGAGGGGGCATTAGCCTGCAGACATTTTTTTAAGTTGTTTCATCAAAAATTGTGAGAGGTGTTCAAAAATCGAGAAAACATTGATGCACGGACACAGTTGAAAATACAGATACACAACACATAAAATATCTTGATAATTGTTAACAAAGTGCTCTGAATTTAAGGTTGAACTGTTTTTATCATAATAATTTCGTTACGATTCTAAATGACGTGCACAAGGGGTATCTTGGCGGGCTCAAGCCCCTGCCTTCTTGCCTTAATGTCCCAAAAATGCTCTTTTTTCTCTCTGTTATACAAATTATCAACAACTTCGAAAAGCTAAACTTGATTCTACAAGTTGCTTGCTGTGATTTACTAGCAAAAAAGGGGGATTTAAGTTTTAAAATCAATGAAAAACATGGTCTTGAGTAATATGTAATATGCAAGTGTAATATGCCATTAAGTCTTAATACGCAAAATTCGCTGTTTAGTTTTAGATCATAAAAGTGTTTATAAGACCAATTGAAAAGGAATAAAAGGGTATCTGTTTACTTCTTATGGATTTTATCACATGTGTACCAGAAGCACCCATAGTCTCCTTTAAAACATCCGCCCCAAAAAAGGTTTGTCTTATGATGCTTGAAAATAACCCTTTTTTTGTTAATGAACCCTTGCTCTTTTAATGTGCTCTAAACGTCACTGATCCTCCGTGTTTCGTGAATATTCTATACTTTTTTTTTCCCCATAGTCCTTGCGGACCGTCGAGCCGATGGCAGATCTTGCTCTGCCATCGTTTCTAAAGCTGTTTCTTACGTCAAGGATGCAACCTACTTGACAGCCTTCCCTCTTGGAAAGGACGAGCATGTTTGGTGGGACTAGATGTCCTTAATCACCAGAAACTAATACTCTGGTTTCATTATTGTTATCTCCTTGTGACTCTAGGTTTCATAAATACTGGTGGGAGCACTTGTACATTTCTAATCCTGCTATATATATAGACTTTCTTTTAATCCTACCTGTTAGAGTGCAATCACAGTTCTCAGGTAAATCACAGACCATCTTAATAGGGTTAAACTTGAGTCCAGCTGGGCACATCTTCTTACAGGCTTTACCGTCTGCAGTACAGTCGTAAAAAGAACCACAATCATATGGGTCAGCCACTCTACATGCGCTGGATGGACATTTTATGTTGTGATTAACAATACAGGTAGGATCTGGATCTGAAAATTGAAGTTAATAATAAAAAAGGTTTCTAAGAACAGCGAACTTACAATAACATGGAAGACCTTCCAAAGATCACCTAAAAACATTGACACATTTTAGATTTTTACTCTTAGCATTTAATGAGGTATAATTTGGTGATAATGATGCTCGTGCAATATATGACTATTTTCGAGATGGTGTGAAAAGAGTTATAAAAATAGTATCTGAAGTAGGTGTTTTAGGTAAGAAAAATAATGTGTAACGTAGTCTAACAGAAAGATTGCAGAAAATAAAACCTATTAGTTTGACCTAAAGTAGGTGTTTTAGAAAACAGGAAAAGTCAAAATTTACTTTGAAAAAGTATTGTGAAAAAAAGGGGTAAATGACAAGAAATTTAGGAAATGCAGATATTTAGAAGTTAATCTAAAGTAGGCGTTTTATAATGTCTTAAACACTAGAGCATCTGAGAACTAGAGAAAAAGATAAAACAAACCGAAGAAAACATTCTATAATGAGGAAAATAACATATAGTCATTCTTGAATAAGAATTTGTTCTATAATATAAGCTACGATAATGTTATAAAATGAGGTAAAGGATAATAAGTCAAAGTTGGGTAAGAATAAAACAAATCCAGATAACCAAAAATAATAACTACTGAAAGAAAAGATATTTGCAACTTAAACCTAAGTAAAAACATTAGAAAGAAATCGTAAGAACAGTAGAAATAGAAATTATTTTCAAGATAAACAAATGTAAGAACTATAAAAAGAAAAACAAATACTTGAAAGATAAAGAAATGTGAGAGATGTAGAAAGAGAAAAATTCTGAGAGAGAGTAACCTAGATAGGAGCTATTAAAGTAAAAGGAATCAGCAAAATAAACAAAGATGGAACCATTAAGTGAACTTATGTAGCGAGTGTACGAAACCTAATAAAACAAATTACTGCAATCTAATTTGAGAGTCTATATAAATATTAATCACAACAATTGGATTTCACGTCACAAATAATACTGTACCAGAAGTTTTAATTGCAGCAATGGTTACCATAAACCACGCAGAGCATAAATCATAAATGGCAAAGTTATTATACAGCCTGATCACAGTGAATATTTGAAAAGTAGGCTCCCAATATTTATTTTCAAAGTACTTGAGTACTCATTTTTAAATACACAGCAATGAATCATTAACATACTTATTTACCTGTAACAACTCCGCACTTGTTAACATTCCAAGGCCAGTCACAGACCTGAAGGCGAGGGTTGAAGAACAAAGACATGGGACAGTCTTTTAGGTAGGACTTGCCATTAAAACAGTGGTAGAACTTAGTACAATCATCTTTCTTCGGAAATAAGCCGTCGACGTATCTACAGACAGGATCCTTTCCCCAGTTGTCTAATACCAAACAAACTCACTACTGAATTAATTAATTATTTCTTTCTTTTAAGCATAAAGTAACATAATAGTCTATCTGCATTGTATCCTTTGCGGAGAATCGGATCCCGAATTTTAGTGTTATAAGGCTTCAAATATGAATAAAACTAAAAATTATAGTTAAAAGAAGAAAAAAAAACATTATTGAAATTTCGTATTTAGTTGTTTAATCAACAGCATATATTGATTTGTGTAGGACACGGTGATTTATTTTGTGATTTGTTTTAAGCCAGACATTGAGCTAAAATATTGTATTACTTAGAAAACATACAAAAGACAAAAAAAATCATAATGTAATTACCACATCCACCATTGGAAGAAACACAGGTTTGTCTGTATTTATCAAACTTCTGATTCCATGGACACTTTTTGATGAAGGCGATACCGTTAACACACTCAACATATTTTTTACAGTCCTCGGGTAAAACAAATTTGCCATTGGGTCTTTTACACAGGCAAGGATCTCCAATGTCTGGACATTCAACATTTTGCAGATAGTCACACAGATGGGTATATTTGTTGAAGTAAAGACCAATAGGACAATACTTCTTTTCTCGAGCTCCATTTTTACATTTAAAGTAGGACTGACAGTCAAAAGGATTTTCAGAAATGCATTCAGCACAAGGACATAGAGGGTCACGTGTTGGTTCTATGGTAGTGCTGGTTGTTGGACAGACTGTGGAGGAAATAAAACATATTTAAACATACAGTAAAAAGTGCTTCATGTATCAAATATTTCAGTTTTTTTAAACAAAGGACTGTTTTACAACAGCTGTTGTATTATGACACCGGAGTATCCAACAATGTTTTTACTTCTTTATCAAGTCATTTCCTTTCTGTGTATTTCTAGAATATTAAAATATTCTTTATAAAATTGAAATAAATACAATTCCGTTTTGTTTTTTTTGTTTTTTTTAGCATCAAGAATAATTTGTTTGATTTGGGTGATATTTTTGAGAATTCTTGAAAATCTACATCATAAATACTGTGTATACTGTTCGAAATACTGTAATTTTTAATAACAGCGGTATGTCTGCGGACTTACAACGCTAGAAACTGGGTTTCTATTCCCGTGGTGGGCAGAGCACAGATCGCCCTTTGTGTAGCTTTGTGCTTAACTACAAACAACAGCCAACGGCTATAGATGTACAAGAACTGATCAAACTTTTACACTCCTTGATTTTAACTTTTAATCCTGGAGTATACGTAATGTAATAAGACAGACATTTTACCAGCTGTCAGTCCAGGGTTCTATCTTGAGATATTTCCTGCTTCTGACAAGCGCTGGATGTACCTGCATAAATTAAAATAAATTGTCCCCCCCCCCCCGCGGGTTGCGGAGGCATTTGTACACTACTGACTATTATGCATAACCGTTACGCCTATATATACGTAATTCCTACATATTTATTACATACTCACAGATAAATACATTAAACAGAACTCAACTCGTACAAAGGTAAAATATCAAAAATATTAAAAATGAACACGCAACACTAAACAGTTTCAAAATAAAAAATAGATAGATAGATAGTCTTACAACTGCTTATGAAGGAAAATACCTAACAGCACAAAGTTTAATTTTAAGACGTCTCCAGCCATTATATAGCGCTTATGTCACTTCTGTGGCTGTCGGGTGCTGTATCTGGAGCTTAAAATAATTGTCTTCTTTTCATCAAAGACCACACAGGCGGGTTCAGTTATTTTAGAATATTGTTTGACAAGACAAATTATTATCCTCTATCTCTGTTATTACAATACAAGCTGTGAAACTTACTTTAGAAATCATTCGATACAACTAAACTCATACACAGTCTAACTTCACTTTTACTTTCACTTTCACTAATTTACGTGCACTAACTTGGTCGCCTATAAATATATATATATATATTGCCCGAATGAGACCTAGAATTTTCTATAAACTACGAGACGTTATCAATATTTAATGAAACAACGAGAAAAATGCAGAAGGTTCGAGTAACATGATTATATAATTATGTATATAATTTACATAACTTATTTTACATATACATAAATTTGGGTAATGAAGAAAAACAGCAAATGTACAACGTTGGTACCTGATGATGACAAAACCTTGTCGAAACGTTGTACATTTGCTGTTATTTCTTCATTACCTATTCAAGCCGTCTCCAGCCATTATTAGTCTCAAAGTGGGTTCCTCGTCATGGAAAGTTTTGTACAAATGTTTGACTTATCTATATAAATATAATAGCACTGTCTGTTGTATGCCCATGTAACTACTTTGCAGGGGTTTGGATGTTTTTTTCACCAAAATTGGTATGGAGGCTCATTAAGTCTATGTAGAGGTGCATACAAATTTTCGGTTTTACATTTTGTGTTTTTATGGGCGTTTTGGCATTTTTAATACTACTTCGCCCACACCTCTCTGTAAATAGATCTTCAGCAAATTTTGTATGGAGCTTCATTGGGTCTATGGAGAAATACATACAAGTTTTCCGTTTTGCATTTTGTGTTTTGCGGTTTTTATTAGCGTGTTTGTGGTTTTTTACCACTACCTCACCTTCTGTGAATATATCTTCACCAAATGTGGTATGGAGGCTCATTGGGTCCATGGGGAGATACATACAATCTTGCGGTTACACATTTTGTGTTTTGCAGTTTTTATGGGCGTTTTTGCGTTTTTTTACCACTACTTTGCCCTCTGTTGATGAATCTTCACCAGATTTGGCAATACGGTTTGTTTGGTCCATGCAAAGATACATGCAGACTTGTAGTTTCACATTTTGTGTTTGCAGTTTTCATGGACGTTTCTGCGTTTTTTACAATTACACATAAGGGAAGCAACTTTTCATGTTCTAAGATAACCTTTCGTTAATCATGAATTTACATAACTTCCGTCCAAGGGACGAGTTATCCAGCTAGTTTTGAATATTTTATTTTAAAACAAGTGGATTGTGTGCTGTCCATTTATTGTTGAAATTTATCGCCAACAAGACACAGACACCTACTGTAAAGAATCCGGCCCTATAAAACCTGACACATTCAAATCGCCTGACAAATGAAACTTTGATATCTTTACACAGTTTTATGTTATATTGATGCAAGAAGCAACTTTGAATCAGTTATCTAGATATGAGTCTGTTTGTTGTTAAGACAATAAAATAGTATTGCTTGCCTGGTACAGATGGATCACAACGAGCAACACATGGCCACTCGCAACGTTGGAGAGCTTGGCTCCAATGAAGACCAGGTGGACAGTTCATCAGGAAAGCTTTTCCATTATCGCAAGACCAAAAGGAGCTACAATCGTCTTCATTCTTAAACATTCCATCGATCATTGGACAAATAAATTTGTTGATTTTACAAGAGGCGTCTTTTTCGAGAACACAGTTGTTGACAGATGGTTCGAATAGCAAACCTTCCCCACATTTAGCACGGACCGATTTTCCTGATTCACAAATGAAATATCTGGAACAGTCTTCTTTATCAGGCACAAGACAGCAGTCACAATCTTTACAGATTAGGTTCGAATCCTGGTCTCGTTCTGTAACAGGTATGACATTAGACATGTTTAAAAATAATTTAACATAAGTCTAAAATTTCTTTGAAAGGTTTATATATTCTATATTTCTTTTCTTTTATCATCTAGCGAAAACCTTGAGCGATCTATTTGAAATGTATTTATTGACTAGAAAATCTGTCGAAAACGAAATTTATCAACAATATTTCTTGTTTACCAAAAACTAGGTGGATTCTATAACAAACATACATGTATTCATCGGAAATATTAAGAGAGTAAAAGTACCGTAATTTTCGGAATATAAGACGCACCTGTGTACAAGACGCACCCTTATTTTGAAG